GATTGACCGTCACATTATAACGCCCCCACGGCTGAAAGGGCGAGCATGTTTGGTGGGACTGGGATTCGACCCCGCGACCCTTAGATTGCGAGTCGAGCGCCCTAACCACCTGGCCATGCCGGGCTAGGGCCATGGTAACGATATAAGCTGTAATATTGTGATTAGGGCCATGGTAACGATAAAAGATTGGGAGACTTCGCTTAGGGCCATGGTAACAAACAATACAAGGTTGGAAGGCTTCGATTGTGGCCATGGTAATGATAAAAGGTTTAGAGACTTTAAGTAGGGCCATGACCCATGTCAAAGTTAGAAGTTCATTACTAAACATTATATATAGAGTGTAATAACGACTGTTTTCCTAAGCATAATTAAATGAAATTCGGACAATCTGTAACAAGCGTCAGAGTGACGTCACAAACAGATAACTTGTGGAACATCACCAGTATCATACAAAATTCCCGTTTTTATGTATATCCCATTGTAGTATGGCCAGGTGGTTAGGGCGCTCGACTCTCAATCTGAGGGTCGCGGGTTCGAATCCCCGTCCCTTTTCAGTCGTGGAGGCGTTATAATGTGACGGTCAATCCCACTACTCGTTGGTAAAAGAGTAGCTCAACAGTTGGCGGTGGGTGGTGAGGACTAACTGCCTTCCCTCTAGTCATTCACTGCTAAATTAGGGGACGGCTAGTGCAGATAACCCTCGTGTAGCTTAGCGCGAAATTCAAAACAAACCATTGTAGTACCTCTAGTCATGGTCTGTAGAGCATATAGATCATCCTGTAATAGATTTTATCACTTCCTGTCTTCTGCTTTATTTCTCGTATAGATTAGTTGGGAAGGGAGCAGTAAACACGCACGTGGCTGTCTTTTCCTTAATTTAGAAATGATTGATTTTAGTTTTCTCAAACAGTACTGACGTTTTAAAAATTGGATTTAAAAAAAAATATATTAACTATTTTCTATAGTTATAGTATAAATATATTTGACCTCCTAACCTAAAGCGCGTGCAGAACTGGTCAAGACTAAACCAAGAAAAGTGAGCCTCACTAACGTTGTCCTTCAAATAAACAGCACGTTTCAAGTGGTGTGAGGTCACGAGAGAAAAGGTGTTGGTAAAAAAATAAATAAATAAACACTTGACGAAATATAAACATTTTGATTTCTGTCTGAACTGGTCAGCTAAGAAGATATTTTCGTATCAATTATTCTTTGTCCAGTTTGATTCGTGTTTAAAGAGTGCCTTTAACTGTTTTAACAGGTAATGTCGCGGGTATGATAACTTTCTGGCTTCTAGTTTAACTGTTTAAACAGATAATGTCGCGGGTTTAATAGCTTTAGGCCTCGAGTTTAACTGTTTTAACAGGTAATGTCGCGGGTGTAATGGATTTCTGGCCTCGAGTTTAACTGTTTAAACAGGTAATATCGCGGGTTTTGATGGCATTTTGGCCTCGAGTTTAACTCTTTTAACAGGTAATGTCGCGGGTGTAATGGATTTCTGGCCTCGAGTTTAACTGTTTAAACAGGTAATGTCGCGGGTTTTGATGGCATTTTGGCCTCGAGTTTAACTCTTTTAACAGGTAATGTCGAGGGTTTAATGGCATTATGGCCTCGAATCCGCCTGTTTGATAATTCCCAATTGTGTAAGATCTTCTACCAGAAAAGCTGCTAAAATATACAATAACAGTCAATAATAATTTAAATACCACTTAGGTCATCAGTTGGGTATCGTCGCTGATAGCGGTGTTTTCGGCCCTTAACCCAAGAACAACTGACTTGGTTGGGGGAGCCTTCTTAGCGGTATTACCAACCATCGAAGCAGAATTGTCAGATATTCAGCTTTATTAACCATGCCTATCACATTTTGCCAAAGTAGATGTCCCCAGTGGCTCACTGATAAGTCTGGAGACTTTAGACGCTGAAATACGGGTTTCGATACCCGTGCTGGGCAGAACACAAATAGCCAATTGTGTAGCTTTGTAATTAACAACAACCATACAAAACCAATTAATGCAGTAATTACTGTTTAAGGAATCTAAAGTTTTCTATTGAATCTTATCTAATAACTTAAATATATATTTTATTTTATTTAATATTGTAAATTACTGTAAGTTTACAAAAACGCATATAGATTTAGTGTCTTATTTAGTACGTGACAAGTTCCAGTTAGATGTCCGCAGAACAATAGCACAGCCCCTGTGAATATATGACCTCTGGTCAATGTTTGTACAGAATTTTTGTTTAATAATGTATTAACTTAGTTATGGAAATTACTCAGTGTTTCGTGTTGTTCACATTTCGAAAGTGTTATAGTTTTATGTTTTTAATTATAGCTACCAGAAGATCCAGATTTGTCGAACCACAAATCATGTAAGGTTGAAACATCTGTGTTTATTTTAGGTTCCCTACCACCAAGTCCATCTGATAGTGGAGTTTCAGACGTCGATAGTAGTAGCGGTCATGTTAGTACAGACGAAGCCAAAACTATCTTACAGCCGGCCTCAGGTAATCCAATCTTCTTTGTTGATGTGGTACAGGAACGTTTTTCAGACTAGTCAAAAGGAGTAAAAGACTCCAACTTAAGGTGCCAAAGGAAAATCAACTTCTGAAATTAGAGGTTAATTACCCTCCGAGGATATGCCCCTAAAACTCCTTATAAATCCTCGGAGAGTAAGGAACTGTTCAATTTAAAAATAACGTTTCGGTTATGTCTTTAAACAAATCTAGGCTGTTTACACTGTCCCTCCTCTGTAACCTGTCACGCTGTCTCCCTCTGTAGAAGTGTAATCTGTTTATACCAGTTCTCTCTGTATAAATGTAATCTGTTTACACTGTCCCTCCTCTATAACCTGTCATGCTGTCTCCCTCTGTAGAAGTGTAATCTGTTTATACCAGTTCTCTCTGTATAAATGTAATCTATTTACACTGTCCCTCCTCTGTAATCTGTCAAACTGTCTCCCTCTGTTTATACCAGTTCTCTCTGTATAAATGTAATCTATTTACACTGTCCCTCCACTGTAATCTGTCAAACTGTCTCCCTCTGTTTATACCAGTTCTCTCTGTATAAATGTAATCTATTTACACTGTCCCTCCACTGTAATCTGTCAAACTGTCTCCCTCTGTAGAAGTGTAATCTGTTTATACCAGTTCTATCTGTACACATAATTTGTTTACACTGTCTCTTCTGAACAAACAATGTGTTTAATAACCAGGGGGCGTTGCTGGCTGTATCAAGATTCTAGAGCTGAGGCCCGGGAAGCAGTTTAATTTTTGTTTATGACGGTCGGTATATAGGACCATGATTTTTATAAGTTGTGTTTTCTTGTGTGAAATCTTGACGGATTTTCTTACAAGTCTTCTGTTAGAGATCGGTTCTAAACTGGATATTGATAGTTTAAATTATTTATTCTTAGGCCTAACAGTTTTATGCGAATACTTTCTAATTTCAGTCTCTCCAAGAACATCAAAATCACCTTCCTCTGGAAGTACACAATACTATAAATCCTCCTGCCAGGTGGCGCTGCAACCTTATCAGTCACCGTACAAGTATTCCCAATCAGAATGTAAGTAGACATAGCTGTTGTAGTTTTCTGTTTCGTTGTATTGATAACATTTTGGATGTTTTGTAATATTTGGGGGCAGAAAATAGTGAATATATATGTTTTTCATTATCACACCAACACGTTACATTAAGCAGTGTTTTCTTAGCAGTGCTGTAATTTTAAGTGATGCTGTTGGATCACTTGGCTGTATTAACATGCAGTGCCATTTGTTTACATCAAAAGTAACTTTATTCTCGAGAAACTTTCGTTCCTTTCACACTTGATGTTTAAGTCATTGTTGATTCAAGCAACATGGAGATCACTCTTCCCTGGTGGGTCAGCTGTAAGTTTACAGACTTGCAACGATAAAATCCAGGTTCGATTCTCCGCGGTGAACAGAGCACAGTTTTATCAGATTTTGTAGCTCTGCGCTGAAAATTCAAAGAACGCCTACAAATCGTTCGAAATACGTAAATGATTATAAAGGAACTGCACCCCCCCTTAGTGGCACAGCGGTATGTCTGCGGACTTATACCGTTAGAAACCGGGTTTCGATACCCGTGGTGGGCAGAGCGCAGATAGCCCTTTGTGTAGCTTTGTGCTTAAAAATAGACAACAGCTAAAAGAATATTACATTTTTCATGGATTTTAAAATTGACTCTTCCGCACCTGTCGTGTATCTTATATAATAAGATTCGGTGTCTGTGTGTGTCACGTGACTCCTCTTAAACCGCTGACTCCACCGACTGCTAAGAGGTACCAAACGAATCGTCTCGGTCTGGAGGTTCTCCCAAAGGTAAGATTCTTTACCCAACCCCTTGGGGAACCCGGGTATTTCGCAAAAACACGTTTACGGAGATTCCCCAAAAGCATACCCCAAATTTGGCATTGATTTACATTAGAGCACGTAATTAAGTAGGCCTACTAATTACAGTTCGTAACTTGATTAAATACATTAAATCTGTATTATAGCGGCAATGATAGTTAAATTGAAAAGGTGCAAAATAGTAGTTCAAACATTACATTTGTATTATAGTGGCCCTGTAAATGTGGGCCACAGGCCCACTGGTTCACTAGTACTATTTTGCGTTCCAGTTTTGTTTTCAACGTCGACTACGTTGGCCTCGTCATCGTGACGAAAGCACAAGGTTATTACTCATGACCTATGTATGTTACGATCATTCATGAGCTCAGTCATGATTTATAGCATACATAACTATTAGTTTACAGCCAGATCATGTGTGTTATAACAAAAATAATTGGAAGTTTAAAGAAAACATCTCATTTTGGTAAAAGACTAGCGTGATATTTTTGTCATTGGTACAAAAGTTCCAATTGCTTGATTTGGGTATTTATTGAGATTTCGTTAAAATGTCGGCTTTTTTTTTTAAGTCGTCGTGAAATGAAAGGAGTGAATTGATTGAAATACAATTTTGTTAACTTTTACATTTACATCAATGGTTCGTATTGTGCTTCAGAGCTCGTGCACGATTGTTATTCCACAGTTTTGACTTATATTGACTATCCGTGATGTTTTTTTCTTATGGCCTAGTTTGATTCATAATTGACGGGTCGCAAGTTCGAATCCCGTCACATCGAACATGCCCTTTCAGCCGTGGGGGCATTATAATGTGACAGTCAATCCCACTATTTATTGGTAAAAAGAGTAGCCCAAGAGTTGGCGGTGAGGGATGTTGACTACCTGCCTTTTCTATACTAGTCTATCGTCGCTAACTTAGGGACGGCTAGCGTTGATAACTCGCCAGTAGTTTTGTGCGAAATTCTAAAATAAACAAAACCAATTTTAAGTCTCTTGTGTTTGATCCTACAGTTCCAAATTACAACGGTGAAATTAAGTAAACGTTTGCACAAAACGTTGTGTCAACAGGAAAGTACAAAAAGTAAGTAACTCGTTGTCATTTTAAAATTTCAATTTGGCGACTTTCGGATCTACTCGAGTCAACTTGACCTTCTTATCATGAAGTAGTGTTTGTAGTTCACCAGGTTGCCGTTAGGCTGGCTCGACTGAACTAGGCCAGGATTAGTTTTTGCTTTCACCAATTACGACATCACAATTTTGCATTCGTGTTTAGAGGTTAGTTTAAAATTTATTTACACTTTGCATTTTATTTAATGTAGGTTGTGTCCCCCCCCCTTTTTTTTCATTTCCGCTGGTGTATTTCAATGTGTTGTCCCTATTTCTTCCTTTCCGCTGGTGTATTTCCATGTGTTGTGTTCCTTTTTTCCATTTTCCGCTGGTGTATTTCCATGTGTTGTGTCCCCCTTTTCAATTTCCGCTGGTGTATTTCCATGTGTCGTGTCCCTTTTTTCCATTTCCGCCGGTGTATTTCCATGTTTCTTAGCTATAATTGGAACTTGTAGTCTATGTTTTAAGACTGGAAAAATCTACGTTATTCGTTTACTTGAGAATGTCCGCAAAAAGTGTTATGGCCACCCCTTTATCTCGTGTCCTGCTGTTCCGCCAGGGTCAAATGTAAGTTTACAGGCTTACAACTCAAAAATCTTTGGTTCGATTCCTCGCACAGTTTACCCATTGTGTGGTAAAAACAAATAACCAACTTATGTCGTGCTCAAATCCCCAAAGTGGAAGTGTCTTTTTTTTTTTTTGTCAACAGGCCACGAACCCTCGGATTCACAGCTCGAACACGCTAATTACTAGGCCACACCCGACCCGATTCTGCGTTAACATATTTTGTATCATAAAATGAAAAAACAAAAACCAGGAAGGAAAGAAATGGGTGACATATTGTAACTATAGGATATATTGTAACCATGGTTATTTAGCTGTCAGGATGAAATAGTTACGTCAGGATTTAAGTGTATGGCCGTCACTAACTCACTGAAAGGTAAAATTCCACCAGTCTTTAAAACAAGTAATGCGATAATAAAAAACGTTATTATCTTATCTCGAAACCTACGATAACACACGTTAACAACTCAGATTGGGTTGTATTTACGTGTAATAACTTGGAGATTCTTCAGAGAGATTTCATAAATAAAAATTATTCATTTGCATTCGTGATAAACTGGTTGTTCAAGAGAAAGTCAGAACACAATCATCCTGTGCCGGATCTTTCTACGAATTGTTAACTAGGTGATTGCCCGTTTTCCAAGTCATCTTTTCACCAGGTTAATAAAGCTTGACGTTCACGTTTTTACTTACAAAACTATTTTGTTTTGTTATTAAGCTCGAAAGCTACACAATGGGCTACCTGCTATGTGCCCACCGCAAGTATGGAAACCCGATTTTTTTTTTATTTCTTTTTTAGCGTTATGTACACTTCCCGCTTATCCATCGGAGGGGCGGTTGGGGGGGGGGTTGTTAAACTAAACCCATTACATCATGTTTTTTTATGTACTTTAATCATGAACCACAGTAGTGGTTCATAATAGGGATCGCCCATTTGTTATTTATTATTATTTAATATTATTCCGCCAGTCTATGGCAAAAATGGCTATGAGTATTGTAATGAAACCTGGGCAGTATTACTAAACGCATCATTGCGCATTGTGTAGGGCAGTTTTTAAGTATATTTAACTACCTAGCAAATAACAGCGGCTGTATAACCGTTGACACCAGTCGTTTTAATGTAGTCTGTGGTTTATATGGATCCTAATAATCTACTACATGCATACGTATATAGCTGCGTGAAGGACGTGGATGTAACTTAATGTTTATACGGCAGGCATGGCACATGTATCATTGCGATTATTAATTTGTTGTTACAACTGTATTGATGTCTCGTATCATTTGTTTATGTATGAGGTTCCTGCTCTTTTGGACACGACGCTGCTGACAGAATCATGATTCATTTTGGCCAATTTACACTAAGATCTAAAACGTTACACAAATGTCTAGACTGTCTCCCACAACATAAATATTTAAACTGTAGTTTACAATGTAGCACCAAGCTCAGTTTCGAGCATCGGATCGGCAATCACGATGATGGCTGATGGCAACTATCGAATCATAGCCAACATTGGGTGATTGCGAATTTTATAGATACTGCACATAGAGTAGCCATCTTTGAAGCTAACTTTAAGGAGTGGTAAGAATCGTGCAAACAGGAGATGGCGAAAATGATGGAGATTCTAGGCTAAAGTTTGTAGCTATATATTTTATTTAGATCCAGATAAAGTATGCAGCAGCGATGGCCCACCAAAGTTTAGGGTCGTCACGGTGGCAGGGTGAGTTGGTAATCTGATGGTGGCGTATCTGGAGAATATTGTGGGTGGGGGAGAACTTCCCAACCCAACTCCATAATATTGTGTTGCGTCAAACGTGTCATATGTGGACGTGCATTATCGTGGAGAAGAAGAACACCTGTCCGATTGACGAGTGAAGGGCGTTTCTGATGAAGGGCTTGATTTAAGCGTTCCAGTTGCTGACTATAGATCTCTGCATTGACAGTTCGCCGTGGATTGAGTTCGAAATGAATTACTCCTTTGATGTCCCAACAAATGCAAAGAATCACTTTCTTCGGATGGAGTCCAGGTTTAGGGGTTGGAAGTGTTTTTTTTAGGACTGAGCCATTGTTTTTGGCGTTTATTATTTGCATAGAGATTCCATTTTTCATCACATGTGACAATTCTGTCAAAAAATGGTTCACGCGCATCACTCGCCAGAAGAGATGAAGCAACGTTCACACGTTGGAAACGATGATCATCGGAGAGTTCGTGAGGCACCCAAACATCTTCTTTAAAGAGTTTTCCCATATTCCTTAGATGTTTACGTTTTGTTTCATATGAGACATGCAATTTCATGGCCATTTCACGAGTTTGTTGCCTTGGGTTAGACTCAACAAGTGTCTTCAGAGCATCAATTCCAATTCCAACATGTCGACCC